TCCCACCTACAATAATCCACATGCCTCTCCCATCCGCCCTGTTCCATCATCACCACAGTCTCAGCTGACATGTCTACACATGCACACGTATGTACCAATCACCCTGGGTAACTCTATTAACATGACTGTGCGCGAATACACAGCGATAAACAAGTGGGTTGATTCATGTAATAAGTGCCAGGTATTTTAGGTCTGCATCCAGCAATTCTACAGTGTGTTTCATCGTTACTACTGCCAGCTCCTACAGCTCAAATCACACAGCAGTACACGATTAAAGAAATTCAATCGATCGCAAATGTCACACACACTCTTCCAGAATGCAAGAAGTCGTCTTTTAATTTAATTTAAAAAAACAGCAAATATTGCACAATGTGTATGATCAACGTGAGCAATCCGTCACTAATCCTGTTGCGGTGTCTATCCACTGTCACAAGCACACATCTTTTTGAATGCAATTGAATGCCCACAATTAGAATCGGAATAACTTACTGCACGCAAATCTATTTTTACCGACTGTAGAAATGGGAATACAGCGCAACTAATTACCGATTCCCCGTGACTTATTCACAATGTGTCTTTCTAGCTAAAACTGAATGGGATCTGGCGGGAACACCATGCCCACCTAACTCCAAACTGAACTCCTACGTTCTCAATATATGCTCGTTAAATCCCCTGAACCGATGCACTGTGATAACAAGCGTTCCTCCCTGCATCAAATTCTCTTTTTCTTTACCATAGACAACCCAACAAACCAAGTTTTTGCTTTCATTGCCATGTAGCTAACGCACACATCGTTTATCACCACAGCACCGACCGACAACGATGCAGAAAGCAATGCTTTAGCAATATACTTTAATATCATACCGTAATATACAATTACTTCGCGTATTTTATTGTCCATTCCCGAGCTAAAGCATAAACAAACTTTGAGTATTTTTAAAATAATTCTGGTTGTTGACGCGACATTACAAACACTTGCTGTGCCGATCTGAGTCAAATGAAAAAAAGTGCACTTCTCTAATGCCCAAACTCTAATCCCTTAAATCAAAATACGGAATCAACGGACGGAACTCCATTAAGAAAAAATTATGCAGCCAATAATAATTCAATTTCCTGATTATTTCAATCGTGGCCGAATTGTTCTCTGAATATTTTACTACTACCTGATACAAGTTACCATGGGGATTTAGGAACCTATTTGAGTGCGCAGTCGACAATTTTGTTTCAATAAATAACCTCTTACAAATCGTTGATGAATAAATTGAAGCCTTTAATTTGTATCCAAGTGGTTAACGTACCTGTGGCAATCGCTTGCTCTTCATTTTTTTTCCAGACCTCTGCCACAGCATTATTTAGCGGATCTGCTACATCTGGACAAGCCAAGAAAAACTGAATAGAAAGAAGCAATTCCTTCATGGTCATAGCTGGTCTCCATTGTTCTACAACAAACTTTCGAAATTAATGCATCAACTTACTTTCTAATGTTTGGAGTCGAATACACCCTATACCATTGATATTCGGGTGGAAAACTTTTGTACAAAATCTAACTTTTGGAGGCTTTTGTGGATATTCCCCAGGGTAGAATATTTCCAATTTAAATAAGCCATTTTCGTAAGGTGATTCTCCTGGCCCCTCGATAGCGGCTTTGAAAAGTCTCGGATTATCCTTGTCTTGCTCTATACTGATTCCAGCAATAGGACATTTTTTGAATTCTTTGTATTCCTAGCGTCTTAGCTATTAATATAAACAGAAGCACCTGCTCGAAACGGTTGTGATTTGTACTCATAGCACGAAGCGTAAGGATTTCCTTTACAGTTAAACCGACGCAGATTACATTAACTATTTGTAGGACGAAGCGAAATATTAAAACAACTGACATAGTAAATGTTAGTCATTCGTTACAAATAAATGCACATTTTTTGTGCAAAGCCTATTAATGGCCTTAAAAACTTTTTAGCTAGTTGTGTTGATTTAGAAAAATGCCACATTAATCAGTTTAGTTCATGGAGAATTTCTGAAAGCGTTAGTTAGATCGTCGGCCCTGGTGTGGTACCAAAACCGCACTGGGGGCTGCAACACTTGTTACGGAAGGTTGACAGATTATAAAATTTGGCGTTCAAAAATATTCTTATAAATTAGAAAAATGAAACTTATAAGGATTTTGTTAGGTGCCAATCGAATATGTCACAAGCAGAAAAGTTATCCACATGATTTTCACCACTTGAAAATTAGACAACGAGGATTAGGTGGAATACCGCGCTGATTCATGTCCATCATATCTGTTGCAGTATTTTTAATTCACTGTTTCCCTTTTACATTGTCAGTCACACTCAACAAGCTTTACGTGCCTAACCATTCCCTATTTGTTCATCTGGCCATTCCGTAATTTGTGCCTCGACGAATTCACCAAATTCCAAAAGCCACGAACTACACCAGTCATACATTGTTTTGGAGACACACACACGTGGACATAAGAATTTTGAACCAAAAAAAACGGCTATATCTTTGCCACTCTTGAATTTGATAATCAACCAATTTTTCGAAAAACACAATTTAGAAATAATTAGTGAACGTGGAATAATACGATGATGAGATTTTATGCCATTTCAACTGCTAGATGCCAATGGTAATGCAAATCGTAAACAGAAATGACAATATAGGCAGATGATTGCATCAAAGTGAAAATGATAAGCACTAACTTACAAATTTTAGTGAAAAAAAATAACCCAATTAGAGCTGCATTTGAAACATTTCACTGAATTCAACCCGAATAGCATTTATGCACAGTGAAATTTGGAGTAGACAGTCATTCGTTTGATTGGGTATCTTCGAATGTGCATCCATAAATACACCTCCTCGTGTGTTACAGCGTACGCGGAGTCGTGTGGGTGTCAGTCACGAAATGCCACTGTCTAACTCAGATTCACTTGCCTCCAATACTACGCTGACACACACACACACACAGATACACACACACACGCAACAATTGATAGGGCACTGAAGGTAGTCTAAGCTCTCTGACACCATTCCTTCCGCATAATTCCCCCAAAAGTAGGGTCGAATTCACAGTGAATTGTGTTGATTCACGTCTGCCTGCTCATGTGCTAGTGTGCATACCCTCCTGTGCACATCGCGTCCCTTTTGACATCTGCACGAGAAATCGACGCCATTGGTCGTATTTCGTGTGTCACAACTACCCTTCCAGTCCACGTCTCTTACGCATACGCCCTCACGACCTTGCTTATTTGCCCTGCCACCCAGTGAATTGACGGTTTCCTACTGTTACTCCCCTGCACCCATTTTCTCCACGACATCCGGATACTGGCAACTTAGCAGTGCCAATGTGGGTTTGAATCCGGACAACTTTTACTGAATCGCAGTGCTGCAGCGGACCGTGGAGCCTCCAAGTCAGTCGTGGTGTTTGCTAGTCAAGCACAGGTTGATTTTTTCCCCTAACTTCCTGCGTCTACGTCAATGCGATGCTGCCGGTTCGCCTGATGAACGCACACTTCGCCGCTTAATGTTGATGCCTGCCTCACCACTCCCTGTTGCCGCCTTAGAGCTGCTGTCTGGCCGCAAATAGTCACGCTAACGTATCCGACTGGAGTGGTGTTAGACATTGCCACTTCCGACGCCAATCACTTTCAACTACACCTTGCACCGGTTAGTTAAACACCCAACTTCTCGTCTGGACGTATTTTACAGCCTGATGGTTTGGTCCACAACCACCTCTCTGTGCAGTAGTGTCTGAGGTGAAAGACATGGGCTCCACGCAACTAGAATAAATGCAACATAAGGACCCATTAGCGTGAGAGTTCAGGCTGTCACAAGACTGCTCCTTTAGTCCAACCGCCTCAACCTGCCTGCCTCTTTCGAGTTCGTTTGATGAACTTCTTAATCGCCAGTAAATACACCTGTCTGCTCTGTAGTTTAGTTCCCGGTGAATTAACTGCGTCAAACGTCTTGAAACTCGGCCCTATATCAATGCTTCAAATTGTTCAACGATCAACTCTGATTGCACTTGACTGGGGCTTGCACTTATCAGCTATCCCCTAACTCAGGTCGAAACAAAGCCCACAATTTAATGACTTGCAAATTAGTGATCTGCTGACCCGCGAACACCAACACCTTCGATGTGCAAGTCAAGCTAACGAAACGGCCTCGTATTTACTACACATGAACAACTGCCCTGCCTACACTTTCGTAAGTGGAAAACGATGGCGGTGTTAAATTGTGGTGGACCACATGGAGCCGCAGACTTGACCAACGAAACACGCTCCCAATTGGGCTGAAACACCAGGGTGTTGAGCATTTCGTGGAATGCTTCCAGGAAAGCACACGAGCAGTTTTTACTCTTGCATCCAATAAGAACTCATACATGGTCATAATTAGGGAGCTGCGAAGGAATTGTGTTTCACCACGACGACACTCCCACCTGTACTCAGAACCTCGCGTTAAGATTTTACTGCTTAGTTGCAAGACGCTGTCTTGTGGACCTGGATCGGATCCTGGTGAAATCTGTCCACCAGTCAAGACCGCATGTCGAGGCCCACCTACACTTTTTTGCTTTAAACGTATCACGAGCAGTCGCCTGTCCCATGGCGCTCTCCTATTGCTAAGAGGGTCCAGCATCCAACTGGTGAGTTTTCGTAGTCCTCTTGCAAGCCTATTGCCTTTTTGACAACGCCTGTTCTCCTGCTAACGGTGTCCAACATCCAACCGGTGAGTTTTCGTGGATGTTGGATGTTCGTTTGATGAAGTTCTTAATCGCCAGTAAAGACATCTGCGTGGTGTGTAGTGATGTGAGGTTAGTGCCTTTATACCACTCAAATTTTGCAGACTATTCTAGACGGGCGACATGAAGTGCCCGAAAATTAGTTAACGAGCAGCATTAACATCAACATACTTAGTAGCTTTGGCACGAAGACGAACAGATAGTTAAAAAAGCGTTTGTGTGTAAATATACTTTACTACTGGGAAAATAGCTAAATATCATGAAGTCATTCTTCAAAGACGGTTTCATCTGACTCCCGGTAAAAACATAGAGAACGCCCGTGATCCAGAGTTCGAAAATCCGATGGCGACAAACCGGCGGCTTTAACTGCCTTCAACAGATCAAGTTTTGGAGCCATATATGACTACACGAAATGAAAATAAAAGATTGTTGAAGTGCCTTCACGCCGAAAGTAAAAGAAATTCAAAAGACATATTTGGGGACTCCCTCACCTCGTGAGATAGAGGAAATGTTCCCCAGTGGACGCCAACCGAGTACTTGGCTTTGATGTCCTTGTGAATTTGAACAGCTTCGACGGGGTCCACGTGTTGGGTCTTCAAAACGGACCTGAAACAACCAGCATGGGTTGGTAACCGGTCATCTTGGCGGTCACCAGATACGATTAGACCAATCAAAACTCACCGGGGTTTGTAGGCGCCGATTGGAATGGCTGCGACATCAAACGGCCCGAGATGAGCACCGATTTCTTTAAATACTTTGCAGTAACCAGTGTCACCGCCAAACCAGAAACGATGCCTAGCTCCAATCAACGCCCAACTTCCCCACAGCGTCTACAAAGTAAGGAGTCAAATTTTGGCAATTCAAGCTGAGAAAAGAATTCGACTTCAAGATTACTTTGATCAAAAATAACGGGACGGGATCCGATAATCCTACACCAAGGTTTTAGCATAGGTATAATCAACTAAGCACTCACACTAAAGCTATCAAACACGAGATTCCGAGCTGACCAATGCTGAGTGGGCGTAAAGATGACCTTGACACCCGTGTCTCCGATTGGTTGCTCTTCCCACCACAGAAATTCACGCACATGGTCCCCACTGGCCTCGTTCACTGAGCTCAGAATGAAATCCCGACAACCAGATGGCACAAACCAGTAGGCCTTGGGAAAACGCTCACCAAGGGAGTGGATGCTGGCATAGTCCATGTGGTCGTAATGGTTGTGGGAGATCACGATCGCATCCACTTGAGGCAAGTCCTTAACCTAAAGAAAGGACCTTCTACGGAAATGTATAAAGAATTTTTGATGGACGACAATTCGACTGCAATGCGCAGCTAGAGGAGGTGAAGTACCGTGGTGTTTGAACTCGAGACAACAGAGATACCGGCCCGATTCATCACGATTCACAGCAGCACGTTCGAATTGGATCGGTTGCAGCGCCATTTTAACCATAAAATCTACTCTAAACTAAAATGTGAATAGAAAAGGCATGGTTTAATCCTGGCGCGAGTTGTGATGTCCAGGTAGGTGCTCGAAATCGATGTGTTGGGGAAACATGGTACGCAAATTCAAGAAATCGGGATTCGATTGGTCAGGCCACAGAGGCCCACAACTTGAACGAAAAACTAACCAATCGTCGATTTCAGCGTGTTTATTTCGCATCCAACACATTTTTACGACATTTCATTTAATCGAGTCTAATTCTGAATCTGCATGTAGAAACTTGGTTCACAGGGCACAAGAAAGCAAGCACAAGTAATACAGTGTTTTAATGAGGCAAATACACGAAGCAAAAGAGGCAAGGGGTTCCATCGTGATCCACATTTCACCAATGAAAGTCCCAAACAGCCAGCAATCTCAGTACCCAAAAGAACAACCGCAATTCAATGAAATAATACTCGCATTTCCAGAAGTCTTGTCGGTTACTCTGAGGCTTCAACTTGAAATGGTCAGAAGAACTGTGCAAGACAGCTTACGACGTACATATCAATCCACTAAATCACTCATCCATTTCGAAATAATGTTGAAACGATAAAATACAACGATGTTGCAGGTTTTCTAAAATGAAACCACATCAATTCGTCAAGTGAACAAATTAACCATTGTGATTAATCATATCGAAACTAGATTGTATTATTTGAAAAACGAAGGCATACATGTAGTGTATCGAGATTACAGCAGCAAAAATCAGAGTTACTCTTAGTAAATTGGAAAAAATTTTGCTAGACACTAGCAGAACACTTAACTGTCATTAGTTGGTACAGAACGTGCAATCGTTAATTCCAAACCGTCAGAACTATATCCTCCAAATTCCAAGGACTGAAATATTCCTTTTAACAACTAAGTCGATGTTACATTTAACAGTTGGAATATCCACGAAAAAATACGCACTTGACACGGCGGAGGTCGATAGCGACGTGGTCCAAAGTACTGTGAAGCGGAGCAACGTTCGCTGAACACGGGGTCGCACAAGACGTTGACACCATCGATGTACACGAGAACAGAGGCATGCCCAAGCCAGGTAAGACGAATTCCGGCTGTGGATGCGTTAGGCAGAACTGGACCAAATTTCGGCTTGCGAATGGGGAGATCCATAGGCAGACGTGGGTCAGAGGGCGAAGGGGAGTAATCCGGATCGCCGGAATTGAAACCAAGAACAAACGCTGCATGCAATCGAGTATCCTTCCACGTATCCCAGGGATTCGCAAAGCGGCCCCAGAAGGTCCTTTCAACCATGGTCAGCTTTTCAGCCATTAGCTGTGGAGCAAAAGCATTCACGAATTGTTACATGCGCACAACGAATTACCAGTCAGAGAAATGGCATTGAGGTCCGTGTTTGGAAACAGGTTTAAGAAAGAGATATAAGAGCGTTCTTACGTAATCTCTTAAATAATACCCGTTTTTGATACTTAAAGTGGAGTATTTTTCAGCGGTGGAATGATCTACCCATTTTTTGAACTTCAGATAATTACCTTGATAGAAAAGGCCACAGAAAGCCGTAGTCGCAACATCGTGAAACAGGACAAAGATTATGTAAAATTGGCACGAATCTGGGCCAGAACACAAAACGTATAAGCACATTTAACACTAAAAAGACTCTTCGTAATAGTTCCCAGTTACCCCCCCCAAAAATAAAACTTTTGGTCATTTCCACATCCGTGTCAAATTTAGGGTTTTGTTTGGGTCTTAACAAACGGGTTGCTATAATTGCTTAGGTTATGATATTTTATTACAATATAATTTTTCAAATTTCTCATGTTGTTTTTCCTCAAAATGAACCCATGAATACCAATGCAGATTAGCAGGAACAAATCCGATAAGTTAAAAGGTCACCAACATGTAGCACAGCCATGCAGCAAACTCATCAAATGATTTGCTGAGTAAAGTTTCCTGTGCGTAAAAAAACGACGATGTAGAATTAAGAAAAAAAAACTCGAAAATATGATAAACACAACAGTGTTGTTAAATACACATAAGCGTTTAGGTACGCACAAGCTTAAAAAGAGTAGAGATGTAGAAACATAAACTGACGGGCATCCGACGATATATTGGGGATACAAGTGGGCGAAACAGACAGACCAAGTTTATGGAAGTTTGCTTTTATTTCGGTTTGGAGTGTGTGATGCTGCAGCGCAGAAGGGCGCAGACATATTGGACCATGCTGGCTCAACTCAATCCTCTGTTTCACTGCGTTCCAGTGGCATGCGAGGAAGATAGGCAGCCAACTAGAGGTAGACGCAAATGAAGAGCACTATATAATGATAGGCGTAGCCAGCGAGGCGGACTCAGTTGGACGTCGCCCGACGTGTGGTTCTGGCTTGTGATTGGTCAATAATTCCTGTTCTGTTGTACCAGTCTTCTTCATAATGGGGCTCTGGTATTCTAAAGGAGGATCACTCACTTGTCCAGAACCAAATTGCCTCAATAAAGCGTTCAAAAGCTATTGTAATGACACTAAAATTGGTGTCCTCCGCCAGTGCAAAAATATTCAGTAAACAATATAAATCTAGATAAAAAGTAAATCAATAATTAATAAAACACAAAAAATCGTAAACTCTTCTTGCTTATACAGGTATCGAAAACTTACAATGAATATGTGAGAAATTGTTTAATCGGATTCTGGGTCTTGGGAATATCCATTTCCCTTGTCTTACTAGAAGAGAAGAAAGTACAGTGCAACCCTAATTATTTAAAAACTATCTTGCACTTTAGCTTTCTGCTCGGTTAGAATATTCAACGTACGTCTATATGCATTGTGACCACTGACTGTGTGATATACATCGATTCAGGAACGCTCTCCATTCTATTCTGACCTTTCTCCACTATCCCACCTCCCTTCTTTGGAATTTTCTGTTCCCTGAGTAAACCTTTTTGGCCAGCGAGTCAGTGGTAAGACACACTGCGTGTCCTAAGCGCATGAAGTAAAACCATGCGATAACAAATCCCCAAACGATGTTCATGATTGCTTAAGATGAATTTTTCTGCAAATATGCCATGCCCCTAACAACATCCAGTGCGTTTTTGTTAAAATCTTATTAGTCTATCCCTATGAGTGCTACAAATTAGCGAAACGCTCAGTTTCGTTGAATAACAAACAATTGATTAATCGGGAATCAGCACATTGCAAAATCAAAGTGATTTTGTTTTCAAATGTACATTGTCTTGTTAGGGAATTATAGTTTTAGAAATCTTATATTTGAAGAGGTCATTAGGAAAAGTCAATTGAGGGTCAATCACCATCCTCGAAATTTGTTTTAGTGCGTTGTGTGTCCCAACTTTAGTTTACGAATTTATTTGATAGAGGTGTTCGCCTTTTGTGATGGCAATTGGACCTAAGCGGATTAACTCAGTAGGAATCAACTGCATGCCACAAATTATTTTAGGAATATGCCTATATCCTGAAAAATCCGATTGAAGGTGTGGAAGTGATTCAGAACGATGAGAACTTTCGGTACTATCACATTAACTTGTCCGGCCCAAAAGATTCGCCATATGAAGGCGGTGTTTTTGAGTTGGAATGGTTTTATCCGGAATCTTATCCAAAAGACCCGCCAAAAGTTCGATTCCTGACTAAAATCTATCACCCTAACATTGACGGACTTGGTCGGATTTGCCTGAATATTTTAAAAAGTATGTCATTTTGTACCTAAGTTTATTTTGTTACCACTTTTGACATCACACTGTTGCTATTTATACAATCACTCCCATACTTAATCGACTGCAACAGATACGTGATTGCTAAACCAATATTTTACTGTTAAATGTATGTACCCTTTGCTTACATTAAGCGAATTTACGTAGTATTCCTGGAATCGGATGCCTCTCATATATGTCTTAACAGTAACAATATATTTTTTGAGACTAAAAGAATTTTAAGACCTTTGCGTAAGTGCACTAAACAACTTAATGCACTTTTTGAAAGAAATTTTGTCCTCTCGCTTTGTGATTTTATTCTGAGCAATATATTTATTTTCCTTAGATGATAATACTGGTCAACATATTGCGACAGGTAAGAAATGCGCTAAAATGTTATTCTGTTTAACACCATTTCCTTCCAATTAACTTTAACAAATTCTCAAATCGCAGCATAATCATGTATAAGCAAATATCGCTGCATTCAAATTCAAAGTTGCCCTTCTAAAATGTAGGATTTTACTGCTTTACTTAGTAGAACCTTTTGAACTTTTATGTTCGAGCTAATTGTTTACAAGCTCTGGTGCCAACATATTAGTTATACAAAATTAACCTGCAATTTTTATTTGTTGTCATTTGTCTAACACTTTTAGTCATGTCTTAGCGGAATTGGTTGTGCGAGTTTCATAACAATTAGTTAAAAAGGGTGGAAGATTTGCTGTTCCCCTTGCTAATTGTCCAGATAATGAATATGAGGTATGTGGGTTTCTATGTGCTTGGGTTGGCTCATAGTGACTACTCCACCCATCGGCTTCTAGAACTCGCTGTGAGCCAAATTATGATAATTTCGTGCTTTAGTATGAGAAAGTCAGAATGTGGTTCTACTCATACGCAATCAGACTACTTAAAAGGTAACCAGAAGTCCGAATTTGCGTTAAAGAAATGTGCATTTTTGCTATCTCGCCTCACGTAAGATATTTCATTGTCTCGTTAAACCAGCGGTGCAGCATGACACAATCATTTCGTGATTATACTGCCATTTTCTTAGTAGTTTTCCCTGGTAGAAAACCATATTTTTCAATTATTTCAGTATCCATATTAAGCCTCTTTGATCACTTTTATGTTCAGAATTATGATGTGTGGTGCTATTATTGTGGAATCTGCTTCTGCCAAATTCCAGCGACCTACACATCAAAGCCCCTGTTATTTACTTATGTGCAGACGGCTATTACACTTGATTTTATCAGTCATTACCTTGTGGTGGCGCTATCAGCGCTTCTCTCAGCAAGTGGTCTCCGACTTTTTTTTAAGATCAATGGGCTACCGGTCTTCGGATGCACTCCGTGCTGCTATCGATCTCAGCGCTCATGGGATCCCCCAATCCTAAAGATCCACTCGCCACCGATGTCGCGAAAGAATGGGAAAAGGACGAGGCGAAGGCAATAGAAACAGGTAACTCGTCGACTTCTTTTTCCCCGATACCCAAATATTTCATCGCTGGCATTTTGAATTCGCGTAGAGAGGTTACCTGCTTACTGGATGCTTTCTAGACTATACGTTCCAGTCAATTAGAAATTTACACAAGTTATAGCACAAAGCAGGTAATGCGTTTGTTTTCCAGTGTAGGATATTCAATCTGGTACCATCAAAAATACGGATTTAAATCGGTAAAGGGAATAGTTCTTTTTGACATTGGAGAGTTGCCACATCGACACAGTGACTATAAGTATAACAGTCTTGCTAAAAAGACCTAAAACAACAAATATGGTTAAATGCCATTCATACATTGCTTATTGCCGTATAGTCATTTTTAAGTGTATTTTGTTTAAATTAAACGCTAACTTAATCACCATTGACGGAACTGTAGGTTGATTGACCGATAGAAGTGACGAAGTGGAGGTACAGTGGCGATACTGATAAGGAAATAAATTTGTTTTTCATTTTCCAGCAAAAGAATGGACAAAGCTGTACGCGACGAAGTAAATTCCACTAGATTTGCCAAACCGCTGCTGTCTGCGTTTTTGTTCTCAAATTTAAACTGATTTGTCTTAATGTAATTTTCTTTTAAGAAAGTGAATTGATACATTCCTTCTCATTTCTTCGCGTTTCGTTTTACAGAGGGAACATGGAACGTGTTAAGAAAAATTAACCGATTGATAAATTACAGTGTTCTGCTCCTGGCTCCGAGACAGTGCCTTATGTTGGCGGTGAATTTTTGAATTAAACGCTGCGTGATTCGTTGTGAGCGCGAGTTTTCACACAAGCAGCGAGACACCAACAGCACTCACTCATGCTCTCCAGCATGTCACTTTTGTGCTGCAGCACATGACGTCAATCCAGTCAAGCTCCGATTAGTTTTAAGCAAGTTGGATTGGCTAATTGGTGGCAATCACTGATATCAGATCGACTTCTGAGCAAGCCTCGCTCGCGATCTCATTCCAGGCTCTCATGCAAAGATTTGCAGCAGTCGGATTTCTGTCCAATCCGAATCGAGCACGTCTTCCAAACGAACTCAAAACCACAGTGAATTGTAGAATCCTGACTTTTTTCGGCCCAATTCGCCAAACACCCTCAGACAAATGAGATGTCAATCATCCTTGCCAAGAACTCACATCCCCAACAGTCTGAGCATCTATTCATTTGCCAGCTTCCGTGGTTCAGCATTGGTCAACCAGAAGATCACGTTTGAACGCCGAATCTGGGGCCACAGGTGAATCTAGTTTGTCCAAGAACATCACCACAGTCCACACAAGACCGATTACCACCTCCGCGTATCCATGCTGAGCTTCGTGATTTCCCCTTGTGAACTATCTCATTACGTGGAGATGGAACTAGGTCGAGTACGGCGCGAGATAATTACAAAATACACTTACTCAATTAATACAAGTACACAAGACGTTTAGCATGATATCTATGAAAACAAAAGCATTCCAAAATTGCGATAAGGAGGCGCTTTTGAAAATAGGAGGCAAAATTACACTGAGAGTGGAGTAAAGGGAGGGCAGGGTTATGATGCATAAAGGCGACATTATCGGGGGAGAATATGGTCATGAATGATACATAAAAGCACAACAAGGACGTAAAAACGACATCAAAAGGTGACATGATTTGGCGCAGGCTCGAGGGCAAGCAGGCATAGCAGATGTTAGTCCACTGACCAGCTGTCCACGGGCCGCAACGAAGTAAGTTTTGGCTTGAAATTTCGCAGCAAATTCCACGTGGCTTCTAAAAATCAACAACAACAATAAAAGTAGTGCGTGTTGAAGGGAATGTCTTCTCTCGAGCAAACACTGGTCTCCGCCCAAGTCACTTAACTATTGTGCCGTGTCAGCCAATCAGAAACGCGCTTCAGACAAACCAATCATCGCACGACTCGCTCGCGATTGGGCAATTTCACATAAACCAGCATGAATTGATTACAAACACCTAAACAAGTGAGGGCCAGTAGTCATTGTGTGTGTGCTTGCAACCACAACGCCCACCTTTCCATTCCTCCACTGTGAGATTGTCGGCGTCGATGAGTTCGTCGTTGAGCGGTTCCCCAACAGGCTCGTCACTCTCGTTGTGGTACTCAGCAAAGTAGGGATGCGCCAACGCTTGAGCTGCCGTCAGCCGACGATCGGGATCAAGAACGAGCATCTTGGAGAGGAGATCCAACACTAGACACAAAAAAAGTTAACTGGATAATTCCACGAGGTAGACAGACAGAGAAGTGAGCCAATCAGACACAAGAGTTTTAACCCGATTATGATTGGTTAATTTGGGGCCGCATTTTGTACTCAAATTCACAAGGTGTTAAGGTACAATACTGCACAAGTGAAACGAGTAAGTGTAAAATCGATTTTCTTAGTAGGGATTAGAGGTATGACAGGAGTGATTTTATGCATCGAGAGCCAGTAGACACGCAACCAGTTGTGATTCGCTAAACACCACCACCCCCACCACCACCACCACCGCGATCATGAACACAAAACGGGAGGCGCAGAAGTGGTAAATGCGTTTTTTGTTAGTTTAGGTTAAACTGACGTGTTGTTAGGGCAACACAGCACAACCCGATGTAAACAATCTTGACGAGATTTGCAAAAAGCGTTGCTAGGCTACCGTCTCGGTCCAAACAACGCGCCAGTAGAGGGGAACGCGCGACTTACAGACAGGCGAGGCCCATGGAAACGCATCTTTAAGGTCCTTTTTGCTAGTGTAGTTGAGTTTTTCGATGAATTCCCGTGCCTAAAAGGAAACCACGAAGCAGTGCACAGGGCTTGAGGACGTTGATTTCCTTGTCTACTGGCGACACAAACTTACACTGCTGCTGGTAATCTTAGCCATCAACTCTTCGTCCGGCGCTCCCACGATACTCATGATCTGCTTCACCTGGTCAATGTGGTTGAGCCCACGGAAAAGCGGCTGGCGCGTCTTCAATTCGACCAGAATACAGGCCACGGACCAGACGTCAACTGCAAAAAAACAACATCAACGGTTCATTTGACCCGGCGTTGCATCCGCTTGATCCAGCGCAGCACCACGTGACTACTAAGTGATGTTTGCTATGCTGCTGCCAAGTGATTGACATCGGCGCGTGTTAGAGATGTCAACATCGCCTGAGACAACTTAACTATCATCGAGATTTGTGACAGCTATTCACTCAACTCTCTTGCCACAATCACTGCTAATCAGTCTCAAATCAGGCCACCAAGTTAGCCCAGGCAGGCATTAGTGAACGCATCTGAGCATCCAATCGACGCTTGCCTTTGGCTGTGACGGCAGAAGCTTTCTGCAGGTGACTTCAGCTAACAAAAGACCACTACGAGAGGAGACGTGCCACACCATTAAATGCGCAGCACACGCTCAACTACAAAGCTCATTGTTAGCCAACAGCTGTGAGGGCGCGTAGTTATGGCTGTAAGGTTACATTTACCGCCAAACAACGAACAAATAGCGGTTTAAATGGCGCGAAAAAGCGAGTAAACTAGATTGGTTTTTGTGAAAACAGACGTTTAGGGAAAGCCACACACACCCCTTTCTGTCCACACAATGACAACTCGACAGCCACTAGCATCTCATCAACTCATCGACCGCATATCTCCCAGGCATAAATAAGCGGGTTCATCTGAGTATCCACTCGACTTCCCCCTCGTGTCAGACAAGGGGTTCCGAGTATTACCGAGTAAAACGCAACACCACCACAATCTACGACGGCCGTGAACCACAGGAAAAGGAGACACCGTCGACAAGGAAATTGACACACTAATGAAGTGGAGGAGGTCACATGAAGCCTTTGGACCTAGTGATGGACACCTGGTCGATAAGCAGTGCAATAATAAACCACGCCGAGCCGACCGATCAAGACTAACACGAGCGGCTTGCGCGAACTGATAAAGCGGATGGGTTGGCGGTTAGGAAAAGCGGCGCATTAGTGCCTGGCAAAAGTCCACCTCAGGGTGAGCCCAAATGTGTTTACTTGTGACTGTGAATTCGGCTCGCTGAGACTCCAGTGCGGTCGATCTAGTGAAAAGGGAGTTGGGAGCCAAAAATGCCTCCTTTAAATTGGATGAAGTGGGAGAAGGAGAACAAGGGCTGTGTTTACCTGAGTCGTTGTAGTGCATCCAGTTGAGCATGACCTCGGGCGCGCGGTACCACCGCGTGGCCACGTAACCCGTCATCAGGTGGTTCTTTTGGCGCGCGAGACCGAAATCGATAATGCGGATCTCAACATCGGAGTTGACGGCTATATTGGAGGGCTTGAGGTCGCGGTGGATGATGTGCGCGCCGTGCATGTACTACAAGGCAATGCAAAATGCTTGTTTGAATGCGCTACACTGCGGCGTCAAGGTCGTCAACTGACGTGTCGCGCCGGCGATTGGCGGGTTCGCTGGTTCATTCGTTCTGGCCTAGAAAAAACGCCCTCTTCACGCCAGACTGCGATTAATGTTCGTGTGTAGGGTACTTGCAATCGCGTTTATTTCCTCCGCAGCAGCAGACAGCGCGTTTGACATTTAGCCTGACTAGCAATGCGATTTTGGAAGACAATATCGCTTTTGGGCGGGTTTCTTGTGCGTGGCAGGACGGAAAACCAAGAATACCGATGATTTATCAACTTGACAGGGATGTCCGACTTTACTGTCGGTCTCCCAACGGACCACAAATCGCTGGCGAGCAGCGCCAACAAATGAGCTAACTTTGAGAAGGTTTGTAAAGGGTATTTGCCCTTAGATTTCCGCAAAATTGTACTACCTCAATAAAGCTCTAGTATCAAGTGTATATGTCGCCGAAAACAGGAAAAACCATCTGTTTAGACTTCTAGCGACTTTCAAATACAGAAGAAAAAGTCGTTTCCGGAAAGTGGATTAGTTAAAATGGAAATAACCCCGGGGGACTATCGGAGAAGTCTACTTTCCGAAAGATGGATCAGAACACGCCTACATCGATTTTGCTGCTAGTGGACACGATGCAACCACTCTTCCACCACACACGAGATACTTTGCATTCAGCTGATCGAATTATATCGCTTGGCTGGTTGTTTAAACACGAGTGCCAGAAGCGAACATCGTCGTGCGTTGGTGCAAGTTACTCTACACCGGTAGTATTTCAGAAATGGACAGTCGTATTTCATGAAGTTGTGTGAGAGAAAGGGTTGTTCATTGGTCTATCAACGCCCAAAACTCCGCCACCACCATTTCAGAGGGCACAATAGAAAGCGTCAACGTACCTTGAGAGCGCGAAGCATTTGGTAGGCGAGGAAGCAGATCTGGTCGTCGGTGAGCACTTGTTGGGCCACGATCGCTCCCAAGTCGGCGTCCATCAGGGGTGTCACAAGGTACCTGAAAAGGATACACCTTCTGAGGCAGCGTCCGCGGTCAATAAAAGAGGCTAAGTGTTGCGGAAGCAAACGCATATTTATGGCTATTTTGCTTAAGGTCTGCGTGACGAAACAATTAACACACACGCGAACACCGAGCTAGTTTGGAGCGTTCCCGTGCTACCGACTAGACAAGAAGCAAAAAAAACAAAACGTACACGTCTTTAAAGGTTTCCAGCGTGGTTTGGGGTGTGAATGCGTCGATGAGGCAAATGACCTAAAAGGCAGAAGGAGGCATCGGGGTTAATCAAATTAGTCACCAACAGCGGGTGACGCGACTGACAGGTTCGATAGCGCACATTTTCGTGGTCCATCTGCGCCAGAATGGCCAGCTCCCGGTAGGTTCGCTTGGCGAATTCGGCGTTTTCGAAGGGCCGATCGAGTTTCTTAATTGCCACTTCTCTCTGCAGAAGTGCGTCCCTCGCTGAACTGCGTGCAACAGAAAGAGAAAACTGACGTCGGTTACAAGGGGCGGGGCAAAACGGCGCAGGGGAACTAGATTTCGCGTAGACGTCGACCAAACAAAGGCCACTGGCTCCACGCGATACCTCCAAGACACCTGTCAACACACCCTACTCCGGCCCATGTGACTCATCGCTTAGTCCGCCATCGGCGGCCACCCACAACCCCCCCCCCATTCACTACATGAAACAAACTTTAAAACACGTTCGAGTTAAATAATGGATTATGTGGGTGTGTTTTCACTCTTAAGTTTCGTGTTCAAGACACGCTAAATGCTGGGGCAGTGTTGATTACTAGTACGTAGCATCCAAATGTGCGTGGACAAGTTTGTCCCACAAAAATCTCCGCTACCGTAAAGAATCTCCCACTCGCTAGTTCGGTGGTTTTTATGCAAACAGACGTTGCCATGATGCAGAGTTGTTGACCGCGGATGTTTGGCGCTACTGGCTTCCCACAATTGCCGCAGAATATTCACTGACGTGGCTTTACTTGCCTACCTGACGCCTCAGCTACAACCGAAAAAATTGTGAATCCGATAGGACAGTATAGTTTTGGCAAATCCGACGAAAAAGAACCTCACCTCGTGATGTAAACTGACACAATAAACTCGACAATAAACATTATCACGGCCACCATACTCATCACACAGTCACGCTTCTCTGCCAAAACGGTGATAAAGCGGCAACGTTTGTTCGAAGACGAACGATGCTAGAGCATTTGTCACACATGACTGTCCGTTAAAAAGGGCACTTAAGTTATAAAAGAAGGGAGATTGGCTAGGGAAGGGTGGAGGGGGTGTGTGAACAGGACATCGGAACCATATACATCCGCCCCAATTACTATCGCTTTCATAGACGGTTGATATGATTCCAAAAGCTTGATGGGATATCGCCCAAGCTGCTCCAGCACAACACATACATAATGAAGATTTATGAGCCTGTGGTGAAGATTTCGCAGACTTACAGAAGCAAGCGACTTGGTCCTAATTTAAAATGGCTGTCAAAGTCCTATATAGCTAACGAAGAATAAGAGAATGTCCAGTTATGATTAAAAAAGGGCGAAAACTGTCCAAACGAGACAACCTGGATCTACCTGACTGTACCGTAGGCACCGTGACCAGCAACCATCACGGAAGAATACCGGTCTGGGAGGTCCCATCGGAGTTGATTTAGTTCAACAGGGACAAAATTTCGTTCTAAAATAACGTTGTAAAACGACAATAAGTGAAAATTTAAATATCTATTATGATTTTCGACCTAGTATACCTGCGCCGGTATCCGTTTGCATGTTTGGTGTCCATCCTGCTACAGCCTGCATGCAAAATACATCGAAAAAATAAGCAAGTACTCGATATATAAGCCCTTGTTTTCTAAAGGAAGAACAGTGAAAATTGGGAGCGCTACACCCAACTACCTCCCCGTATCGAGAAAAATGCCTGGAATATGAGTTTAAAAATAAACAAACAACCTATTTAGGACATACATATTCACCTAAAAAGTCAAAAAACGATGAAATATTCTAAAATTTCCATCACACGGATTTCTTTGTGGAATCACTCGATAAGACTGGATGAAAAAGCCAAAACGTTTTAGGAAGGATAAGTGGACGATTTACAATGCACTTGAAATATACCTGATGGCATTTACAGCCTAAATTGTGGACGCTGATAGAAACTCTTAAAAAAAGCACATCGACGTTCGCCAAAAGTGCTCAAAACAAGATTTAACAAAATTTGATGAAGATATTCTGTATGGGGTTTTGCAGTACACGACACAAACACCCAGTAAAAATCAAAACGCAAATAATATCAAAGGACGACAAAGATAAAGAGATAACCCGTGAGTATTTAATGGGGATTTCATGTAAGCTTAAGGCAACACCAAGACAAAGTCACGTAATACTGAAGAGATCAGAAGTTCAAAATTATGTTTATACGTACCATTTACATCAGGCATGAAGGCAACACGCTCGAAACTGAAAAAGCAACAAACATAAATGACAAATAACCGAGGTGCGACATTATATTTAAGGTTGTCAAATACATAAGAGGAGCATTGTTATAAATCGGACCTTTGGCCGGGACGTTATTGCGCATCAACAAAGGTTAATAAAATTGTTAGCTGAGATCTAATTAAGCGTTTCTATTCAAATTAAGCAAGATAAATGCTGTTGAAAATCAACTTTACATTAGATTTACCAAAACAATATCACCTTTTTTATGTAATATTTAGATGACACACCGAAAGAGAAATCACAAAATAACAAACTAAACATGGTGCATTTTAGAAAATGTGAAGTGTAAGATGAGATTACTAATATTAAGTTTACAAAACTATAATTGCTTTTGTACAGATCATTCACAGATTCTCCACCTACTCTATCTACAAATTATTTGATTTGGCGCCAATTGGCGCCAATAATCATTAAGAAAAATGAAAATAATATAAGGTTTCTGGAAAATAGCACTATAACAAATAATATCAACATCACTTTCTTATGTTTTAATGTAAATCGCGTACTTTTGCCACTAATTTTGAACATAGTTTTCTCCAGCAAACTCTCGTTTCCTAATGTACTGATCTTTTAATGGGGGAGAAATAAATGCATTAATAGCTTGTTGGAAACATATGTTTATTTAGTCAATGAATGTGAACTGCGCAACTAAACATAGTCAGAAGCTTAACTTATCGTAGAGTGGCTACCATGCATCAAATTCATTATGGCGAAATCTGATATCACATTGATAGAATCAATGCCTAAGCATTTCACAAATACCCATACAACACGAAGACGCATCTAACCGGCTATGAATCAAAAGGTTATGTGAAATGCTACTTTTAGTGAAAATATGTACTCATATTTTTTTATTGCGTGATATGTTTTATTTACCAAGGAATACTTAAATCTGTCCACTTAGGACAGTCTTATACGTAGCCCAACTGGAATGCATCACAAGCGAGGGAAAAGCAACACTGCAGAAACAAAGGCTGCTGCTTGTGTATGCGTCGTTATAATATTTCAAAATGAGGGACATTGGTTTAATGCTTTTTCCTCTGAAAAACACGACGAATCGTGTTTTCCGTGGCTTAAAAATATTTTAATACACCATGGATATTCATTGTGAGCAATCACTTTGACGTATATTCAGACAGTAAATTTTGTAATTTGCAATAATTAGTGGTCCATCTGCCTCCCCATCAGGCAACCTACTCATTATTTACCAAAACTAATTTAAATAAAGATTGACCCATAGGGTGACCGGTGAGTTTAGGTTTATAAAACTTGTCGAGCTCCAACGAATTACACAAAAAAATTTGAGACACGAGATAGTCAGCTGCGTCCATATCTTATTGGATCTTACTACAATCGTTTTTGGTTTCATAAAAAAACTGGGAATTCTAAATTTAGCTCAGCCGGAATGAGTTCAACACCCTTTGTGAAGGTTGCTAAATTATCGACCAAATTCCTTGTTAGTCTGCCATTATCAGTTAAAGCATTTCAGCATCAAAAATATTACTTGATACTTTGAGTCTGGACAGTAATTAGTTGCGTCATAGGCTTTATACGTAAATTAACGCTAAAATTATTAAAAATTTGTGAACTAAACAAAACAAAACTTTGGCAATCTTGTCACCTGAAGAAACTTCACCAAGGGTTAAAGGTTCTGAATGTGGTGTCAAACCACCTTGATCACAAAAGGCCTGCCCATACTATAAAGAATACTTTACACCTAAGCCTAATTGCATCCGTTAGAGCATTTATTCAAGGTTTAGCATGACTAACGTTTTTGTTGACCGAATGCATCTACATAGTTATATACGCGGGAGTGAATTGGTGTACGGTCACTTATTACCAACGTCTTCACCATTATAAAATTTCCAGTGAGACGCTATGAGTAACACTCGGAAATTGATTCTTTAGCTAAAATAGACGCAGGAGGATTTAAAAAAAGCTAAATTTTTTGAGCCAATTTTTTTGCATTATACACGGCGTTAATTGCTTTTTCCTGTTCGGGATCAAATGTGCATGCATTTATAAATCTTTAAAATGTCTTTCACATTATTGCGTAGTTGTTTCCAGCGTGAGGAATGAACAAAGGAAGGAACTATTAGCACAAGGAACTTTCCTGGTTGTTTTCAGCCAAAATATTCATATATTTTGTGGAGATCATTGCCAAAATGTGTATTGGAATAATAATGCAAATGAGAATTAGCAGACCAAAGAGTTTAAACCGGTTATTGCTTAAAGTTTAGTGACCTGTTAATATTCACTTAAACCTAGTTTTAACTAAAAAAGGCATACAACCATAGAGAATGAAAGAGAAGTTTAATTATTACCTTACTTTATGAGCATTGAAAAACGATGACGGTCAAAACCGAGGTTGCACAATAACTATTAAAACAAGGCAGATAAATTAATAAAATAGAGAATGATTCAAATTAAACAGCAGTTGGTTTACTGCGCCTTATGATTTTCTGCTCCGGATCTATGGTCGCATATTGTAATTCATATTTTTAAACGTGGCACTAGACATGCTGCCAGATTTTTACCTAAAACAAGCGATATCACAATATTACTCTTGTTTTAAGCTAGTTATGCCTCTGCTTATTAGGCCAGCCAAAAATTTAATTTGATCACCAGGTTGCCAATTAAAACATCAACATTAAAACTTTTGAAGCAGTAATTTAATGTATAATGCCAGTAAAAAGGAAATCTTTAAATCTATGTGCTAATTGCGGCTAAAGCACTCTGCAGACACAATATTTTGTATGTTGTAAAGCTGGCAACTCAAAATAAATAGTCATATTTTAAACCGATCGCTATTATTATTGAGTTCTGTAAGAGTTTCCGACCACAATTCTCTTCAATCTGTTGAAAAAACATGACCCTTAAAAATCACTTCCACTTAGAGAAACAGTAAGCTGCAATCACGAGTTATAAAACACAAACTGACTGTCAGTGATTGATATGATCTAATCCAAGGTCACTAATTTTCCTACGGTTGATGTAGCTCAAATTCTCTAACAAAGTCTACTTTAAGGCAAAAAAGGACAGGCAAGAATCTAAGGGTGCAAATAGGTGACAAGACTATATCTAACAAAGAAAAATAATTCTAATTAGTAATTTGAATAAGGTTATTCTCGAAGAGGAACCAGAAAAAAATTGTGCCGTTATACGCTTAGGAAGTAGTCGGTGAGAACTTGCTAAACAGACGAAGCATGCAAATTTTAAATTTCTTTATTTTTAAATAAAGTCAGAATCATTGTTATAATTTTTTCGACCAAAAATATTTTGTCGAGATTATGTCAA